CCACGTACACGGCTCCTTACATTGGGGTACCAGCACAGATGGCCACGCACATGGCTGCTCACATTGCGGCACCACCAAGGACGGCCATGCACATGGATTCACACATTGTGAACCGTGCTTGCTCTCACCCACAGTTACCAGCTTCAACGCATACGGGCTTGGCCAACTCCCGAATCCCATTTCCTCTGCTGTCTACTTGCTTTAGGTGATACTGGCTTGTGTGCTGAGTTGTGCCGCCTTTTATACCATACTCACCACCTCCATCCGTTCCGCGTGATGCACGTGCTCATGCACTTTCAGATCGGCTTTCGTACTTTCCACCCTCCATCATCACTCTCGTGATTCGCCCATCATAGCGTAGGTGGGGATGGAGAGACCACTCAACCGAAGATAATATGCTAATTTAAGGACAATGTCAACGCGAAGATTGGTGTCGGTATCAGCCTCAACGATCGCAATAAATATACCGATATTTCCACAGGCGGTGTGGCTTACAACAATACATGGGCCATGCTGCTCACAGCACATCAGTGATCTCTGTTGATTGCGTGCCAATTGTGAACTACTCTTTTTACTGACATCCAGGATCCTGAGTTATTTTTATTTGGATTAGCTCAGTACTGTTAGATTTGACATCACGTCGAAAAACAATGTTTGCGTTGAAGACCAAATACTACAAAGTGTGTAGCAAGACCATGAACACGATGATGAAAAACCATATGATAGCAGTGGGTCTTTTCCGCCTAGTTTAATTCTGCCTGCCACTTTCAATGGGCAATTTTGCTAAGTTATTGCATTTCAGCCCTAGCCAACGTTCTGCGACGAGTGTAATGTTAACGCCTTAAAATTGGATCTGCTTATACAAATAATGTGTCGAATGTTCTTAATTTAGACGATGATATGTACGGATTCATTCATCTCACCTTATTTTTAACTAGATGCGCATAAAATTAGTTGCTCCTAGGAAAGCCTAGTTATGACTGCCGTAGGATTCATGTCGGGATGATAGAACCACTTTATTCACGTTCAACTTGTAGCTTAGATTTTGAGCAAAATTGAATTTCCAGAAAAGTGGAGAGCTATTTGACGGCTATAACTGACACTCGGTAACTAAAGTATCTTGGTTGAGTAACTCGAGCGAAGTGTCTTGTAGTTTGTTCAGGCATAG